ATATTTAAATACCAGAATTTTAATAGCATCATATTTTGTTACACATAAAAGCCAGGGTTCTCTGTATAAATGAGAATGCAAGTGCAGATACAATCTAGTAGATGAGTGGCAAAGGGAGCTTTTGAACCAATTTGAAAACATCAGACAAAGTTGTAATTTGTAGGGAAAACTTTATGAAGGCAAGAAAACTGGTGAAGTCTGTAAAGATTTCTCCAAGAGCACTTTCATTCCAAAACTAAAGCTCTGGCATAATTTTGCTTCAAGGTACCAAGAAAACATAGAAAGGCACACGTTTATATTAAATTTTATTAATTTGAAAATTAGGACATAGCTAATGAGACTTCAATATCTGCACAGCTGGTAATGTTTGTCTCAATACAATAATACATTCCCCCATCCCCTCTCTTTCATTTATGTGCACACAGAGACTGATATCAAATGGAATCTCATTGTTCTTTATATATTATGTCCAAGCTACACCAAACATCTAAAAGGTAGAGTTGCACAGGCTTTTTTTTAGTAAAACAAAAAATTATTTACCAGTGGGTAAGAAACCATGGCATACATGCAATCACTTGATAAACCAGTTATTTTACATGGCCCAACTGAAAAGATTAAATATGGTTATTCCATTATTTTCCAACTTCTAATATGGTGCAGGATGATAACATTTCTTTACAATCAGCTTACAGCGCTGTCAAAAACATAGTATGGCAACTTCACATATGGTAAATGCTATCCTGCATTTTTGTTGTTTTGTTGTTTTGAATGAATCCCATACAAGCTGTCTCTTTTTATGTGAAAGCCATTTTTATTTTGTTTTGGTATGTTCCTCATCTCCTCTATATTCTCAAAGCAGAGTGTCTCAGTGTCAAAATTTTCCATCATTCCAATTTTCATATATCAATTGCAGGATCTGTAAACTCTGGTCTTAGATATGAACATCCTGTAACTTGAATTCATTCTTCAGGCTTTTAAGTGAAAGAGAATCAAAATTTTCCAGATGTATTATTTCAGCTGAATCTCTCTCTCTCTCTCTCTCTCTCTCTCTCTCTCTCTCTCTCTCTCTCACACACACACACACACACACACACACAAGCAACAATCATTAGATGACTGCAGTTATTTCTAACAAAAAGCAGGAAAGGAAATGCAAAGATAAATGAATACATTTTAGCCCTATGTAAGATAAAATGAGCAGTTAATACACAAGGTTCCCAGTTTCAGAGATCCAGGATATGTGCTTGTGTGTATCTGAATAAAGAAAAAAACACACACACACAATTTGGCAACCATATTGTATTCAGGGAATTCTGTGCTACTGTGCTTAATCTGCAAATCTCCTTCTAAACTGATCTTTCATTTTTAACATTTCCCCTTCTTGACATTTCATATTTGGCTCTCCAGAATTCAATAATAAAACTACTTTAGAAAATAGTTTGAGGTGATGGGTAATAAAAACAGGCAAAAATAGATCTGTATTTCATGCTTTTGAAACAGCATGTAAAATGGGAACCAGTGTATATACCCTGTCCATAAATACAAGCCTGTTTTTAAAGCCTCTTGAACACATACATTTTGAGCAGAGGAAATAAGTGATTTCCAGTTATAGACATTATACTGTAAACATAAATGGAGGCATTAAGTAAAATCCTTTTCTTTATGGCCACCTTATATTGAAATGTCAACAAATATATGCAATGTCCATACCTTTTGCAACTTATAATAAATGTTGGATTTTGGAAATACAGAGTAGGGATTCAAGGCACCAATCATTGAGCTGATCTTGTTATTTTAATATGACTCTCAATTCTAATATCATTAGGTTTGAACACTGTCAACTACTGCTATCTGGAAAAGGGGGAACAACAGTTCTGATATGAAAGATCAGATATATATAAATATAGGTAGTCCACGACGCACAACAGTCCATTTAGTGACTGTTCAGTTACAATGGCATGAAAAAAGTGATTTATGACCATTTTCAGAGTTACAACCTTTGTTGCATTCCCATAATCATGTGATCAAAATTTAGATGCTTAGAAACTAGTTTATACTTACTGCTGTGTCCCAAGGTCATGTGATCACATTTTCACAAGCAAAGTAAATGGGAAAATCAGATTCAAAACATGTCATCTAGCTAATCTGTCTTGCTGTCTTGGTTTTATTTATTTTTTTACAAATTAGAAAAAATAATGAAACACAGGTGAACTACAACTGGGAGGTAGCTATATAAAACTCTATAAACCTTGCACCTCCAAAACCTGAAATTATTCTTTCATTGTGTCTGTGGAAATTCTCATCCAGGTCATAGTTGTCTCTAAGGTGTTTTTTTTAAAGACAACTAGACTGTTTTTTCTTTGAGGAAAAAGAAGAAAACATTTTGCTTTCTCTCCAAGAAAACATCTTCTTTTTCCTCAAAAACAAAACAAAGTAAATCCAGTTGCCTTTTAAAAAGCACCTTTAAATATACTTTCATTGGTAAAATATCAATCTTGTTTTCTTTCCAATAACGAAGGCATTCTGATATATTTTCAGCCTTGGCAGTTGTTTCAAAGCCACAGTTTCACTATATAGTTGTGAGTTTCATCAAAGGCGGATATCTTGTGCATTTATTTAATTTATCCCAAGAGGGCTGCGTTGTTGCTTATTTATGCAACTGCATTCAAGATTAAATCAGGATCAATAAGCATGTTACTAAAATCTGTCCAGGATTGTGTAATAGCACACCTAAGCCTGCAAGGGGGCATACTTGGATTTTAAATGACTGGGTTCTTTGTCAGTAAGAGAAGAATGTGAGGAGCAAAAGAAAAGCAAAATGGCATTTCCTTTCCTCACTGGGAAAAATGTTTCTTTCTTCAGAAATATAGCTGAATTACTCTATTTTGGCTTTGACCAAAATGCCTGCAGTTTGGTCTGCCAGGACAAGAATACTACTGAATAACTGTCTTTATTATACATTCTGGCAACTGAAATTAAATAAACAACTGCCTTGCTTTAATCTACTTCCTCCTTCCACACACAGAAGCCCTGATTTCTGGCATTTCTCTTCCCATGTTTCCTGGGGGGAACAGGGGAAAACCTCTACATTTTTTAAGACTATCTCATATCGTAGTAAGAAAAACCTCTGGTAAACCTACAGAAAACAATATACAAAACATGTGGTCTATGTTTAATGGTAACCTTTTCATAATACCAATACGCTTTTTCCCCATGAAAATATCTCAACAATTGTTTGAAGCAGACTCAAAACCTACTAGCAGCATGGATCACTTCATGGACTGCAGACCCGATTGAGAGAACCCAGTAATCATAAATTCTGGCTCCTTTTCAATCCACAACCCATGCCTTGTTAAGACATTTAAGATAGGCCTACAATGTGCAATGAATGTAAATACAGCACATCAATTATCAATAGTGTTTTTTGGTAAAACTTACAACTTTCTACCTCAGTGTTTCTCAACCTTAGCAACTCTTAAGACATGTGGACTTCAACTTCCAGAATTCCCCTGCCAGCCTTCCTGGCTAGAGAATTCTGGGAATTGAAGTCCCCACATCTTAAGAGTTGCTAAGAGAAACACTGTTTTACTTCTTCAATGGAACTGTTCACACAATCACCTTCCCAGAGCTATTTCACATTTGTATGTTTATCAGATGATAACAAATGGGTGATTTCCAAGAGGCCAGTACAGAACTAACATCACAGTAACACCGTTCATACTTATTCAAATCTGACTTATTCAAATACAACCAATTCACAACCATTCCCAAGTGATTTTCTAAGTAAACTGGGTCTGTAACTAAATAAATCAATGATGAAATATCAATATATCTTATAAGTATGAATCGGCTTTGAATTTTATTTTCCTAGATTTAACCCTTCCTCCCACACATCTCTCTTACTCTCCTAAACCAGTTTTTCCTGTCCTTTCTATTCTCAAATCAACATATCTTACTGCTACACAATTGAAAAGATTAGTGTAGACTTTCTATTGGAAGTCCACTTGCAATATGTTTATTTATGACTTATGTAATGATAAGCGTAGAAGTTTATTGCGGAATGGAAAGTTCACGTGACCCAGGTGATGTAGGATATGTCAGGGATGGGATCCGATTGGTATAACTACCGGTTCTGTCTATTAGTGTCACGCAAGTGCAATTTACAATTCTGCTGAGCTGCCCGGACAGCTGAGCAGTGCTACGTACAATTGCACAGCGGTTGGAAAAGCCCTTTTTTCCTGCTTTTTCCACCGCAGCTGTGTTGAAAGCAGCTGCGGTGGAAAAAGCAGGAAATAAAGGTTAGGTAAGAGCCCGGGCAGGCGGGTGGGCCACAACAGCAGCAGACATAGAACTGGTTCTATGTCTGCTGCTCTTTGGAGCAACCGGTTCTATAGAAGTGGACAGAACCGGTAGAATCCCACCCCTGGGAAATTGCAATCACTCAATTATTCAACAGCAGAACTGACTCTAAAGAGAAATACATTTAAGACCTGCTGAATTAAAAAAACAGAACAAAACCCTAGGTTGCCACTTTAAACACACCTTCATTTGGTTTCAAAATACAGGTAGTCCTCGATTTACTATAGTTCGTTTAATGACCATTCAAAATTATACTGGCACTGAAAAAAATGACTTAGGACCATTTTTTCCCCACTTTTGACCACAGTAGCATCCCCATGGCCATGTGATCAAAATTTGGATGTTTGGCCACTGACTCACATTTAAGATGGTTGCAGTATTCCGGGGTCATGGGATCACCTTTTCTGATCTTATTGCAATTCATTTAACAACCCTGTTACTACTAGCTTAAGAACTGCAGTGATTCACTTAACCACCACAGCACAAAAAGTTGTAAAATGGGGCAAAACTGACTTAACAAATGTCTCAGCAACAAAAAAATTTGGGCTCAATTGTTGGTGGTAAGTCGAGGACTACCTGTAATCTTCTTTCTGAGCACATACCACCAAATGAGTGGCATTTTAGTCAAAGTGGATAAGAAAACACAAACAAGATTCTGATGAGTGGAAACTTTGAGCTGTAAGAAACATGAATCATATTGAGAGACCTACATTTGCTGAATTTCTCTTCATTTGAATGTTCTGTAACATGCCATCCATAACTCTCTTCTGATCTCCTTTTCCTTTCATCTGACCTCTTTCCATCTGTGCCCACATCCTTCACCTTTCTCCTGCTTTTTTATCCAACTGTTAAACCTCTGCCTCAATCACTTGCATCCAAACTCTGTCTCTTCTCATGCTGCCGTTAGCTTGCCTTCCCATCCTGGAACTGCCACCACCAATGAAACTCCATAGCCTTTTTGCTGTGCATCGAGTTTGTGAACTTTCCTGTGCCATTAGGGAGGGAGATACCCCTGGACCCGAAACCTACTGTGAGCCAGAAGCGGCGTATTAATTGGGAAAGGCCACACAGTGAGGGAAAGAGGGGAAAGCAGGGCAGTGGTCTATCTCCACTTAACATTGCACGTTTCACTGGATGAGTGGGGCCGAACGGTCATTGGTCACCGTACGTTTCAGCTTAACATGAGCAAAGGGATTGATCCTGCAAGGGGAAAGGAGAAAGGCAGTGTGAGATGTGTAGGCTCAGGTTTTAGGAAGCTTTCTGAAGCTGCAAAGAGAAAATTGTTATCCTTAAGGTCAACCTTCCCCAACCTAGTGGTTACCGGACTGATTAAATTACACACACACACACACACACACACACACACACACACAGACCATCATTCTTAATCAGCAGGTGTTGGGAACTGACAATGTATCTTGGAAAGGCTGCTGCAGACGGAGATTAAAGCAACAAAGCCAATGGGGCAGAATAGCCTGTATCGCATCAGACAATGCAATGGATTTCTGCAAAGCTACCCACATTTTATTTGTTCATTTATTTGGCTTTACATCCTTTCCCTTCAATTCACCAGCAGTAGAATTGTTGCACAGCATTTTTTTTTTTTAAATGAACGTTTTAAATATAAAACATTAAATAGCTTGGTGGTGAAAAGACAAGTAAAACTGGTTTAAAATGGCCTACAGCAGTGGTTCTCAACCTGTGATCTGCGGACCCCTGAGGGAAGGGCCATGATGTTATCACAGGGGGTCCCACAAAAGCTTGAAGAAATGTTATGGTTTAAATCTTGATTTAAGAGACTCAGGGGTCCTGCTTTGTGGCCACAAAAGTTATTTAAAGGGAGTCCGTGGTGAAGAAAAAGTTAAGAACAACTGGCTTAGAGGAATCATAAGGCCTCTGTTTAATGTCTAAACTTGTTGCCCTCAATCCCTGGGCTGTGGCCCACTACCGGGCCAGGGCCTATTCAGAACTGGGCCGTACAAGTTCACAAGTCATAAAAGGGCCAACGTTCCCAGTTCCTGCTTTATAGGCTAAAAAAAATGAACACTTTGAACTGACTACCAAAGTGGAACCGATACTGGTAGTCCTCAACTTACAATCATTTGTTTAACGACTGTTCAAAGTTACATCAAGATTTTAAAAAAGCAACTTACAACCGGTACTTGTACATATGACCACTGCAGCATCTCTACAGTCACACGATCTAAATTTTGACACTAGGCAACCTGTATGTATTCACGATGGTTGCAGCATATTAGCATCACGTGACTGCCATTTGACTGCCATTTGTGACCTTGTGGCCCGTTTCCAACAATCAATGTCAATGGGGGAAGCCAAATTCGCTTAATGACCATTACGTGAATGACTACTTGATTCATGAAATCAGTGTAACAAATTGCTTAACAACCATGGCAAAAAAGGTTGTAAAATTGGAAGCGACTCACTTAATAACTGCCTTGCTTAACAATGGAAAGTAAGGCTCCACTTGTGATCATATGACAAGGGCTACCTGTATTATAAAAAATGTATATTCTGGGTACCTTTGCACAAGCATAATTTTCTCTCATTATAAAACCTCTCAGTGCTTTATTAGTTAACCAATTATAATAAAAACTACTAAAAAACAACTGGCAGCTACAGTGTAAGATCAGGTTTAAAGGTTTTAAGCTGGTCTTAGATCTGTAGTGCTGGTTTATTATCTAGAAGTTTCACATTCATTTCTTTGCCTATGAAACACACTTCAGTGGTGACCAATAAAATCAGAATTATAGAGCTAGAACCCAACCATATAAGGTGAATTCTATGTTCGAAAAGCACAGATCCGCAAGATGACGCCAAAAACAGGACACATAAGAGATTCCATAGTATGAAAACAAGAGAGTTTCTCACCTTGAAGGAGAGGCAGTTGGACTTCCAAACTCATTTGTCAACTGGAAAGAAAAATAAAAGAAAAATGCATTCAGAAGTTAAGGGATCCTCTCTGTTCATGGCCAAAAGCCAGGGCCTTGCACAATGGACACCACCTACATATGGCAATGGGCAAATACAGGTCCTTCCTTTCTTCCTCCTCCTTTCTTTTCTCATATTTCTCCTTTCCATTTCCCTTTCCTTCTTTCCATTCTCATCTTCCTTTCCCACTCTTTCCTTCCTTCCTTTCCTTCCTCCCTCCCTCCCTCCCTCCCTTCCTTCCCTCCCTCCCTCCTTCCTTCCTCCCTCCCTTCCTCCCTCCCTCCCTCCATGAAACTCACCTGTGACAGATCAGGATTTAACATGCTGTAAGGTCGTCGAGATGCACAGATACGGACTGAAGGGCCAAACTTTAAATCATCTTCCCCATCAGGTCCAGCAGGAGGAGATTCAGCTCGATCCAAATTTCCTGTGCTGCTACTGTTCATCTTGCTAAGAGGGAAGCCACCAGTGACAGACAAAAGTCAGGTGAAGATTTCTGGTGAGGATTTCTACCCAATGCCTGCCCATTTGAGACAACACACTGCTTCCTGAAGGAGTCTAAAGACTAGCTCCAAGCCTTCAAGATATATTCCATTAATCCAAAATTTTTTGTCAGGGGAACCTGAATGTCAAGGCATGTACCTCTTTTAACTTAAGGGGGGGGCTGCCACAAAAAAGAGGTGGGGGGTGTCAACCTATTTTCCAAATCACCTGAAGGCAGGACAAGAAGCAATGGATGGAAACCAATCAAGGAAAGAAGCAACCTAGAACTAAGGAGAAATTTCCTGGCAGAATAATTAATCAATGGAGCTTCTTGCCTCCAACCTCTGAAATTGTGGGTGTTCCAACACTGGAAGTTTTTAAGAAGAGACTGGATAACCATTTGTCTGAAATGGTATAGGGTTTCCCGCCTAAGCAGGGGAATTAGACTAGAAGACGTCCAAGGTCTCTTCCAACTCTGTTATTCTGTTAATATGGAAAGGAAAAGGAGCTTTTGCATCTTCTGGATCAATCTATACAGCACATACTGATTGATCGTGTAGCTGATGGGAGAGCCATGTGGATTGCGGAAGAAAAGGGATGGAGGTATCCTGTGTCCTTGTGATATATTGTCTCTGAAGACTACAAGTTAAGTCCTTGAGTTTCAACCATTATGCAGCCTCCCCATCACTGTCATCAACTCACGATGGTCCTAAAACAGGTTGATCGTGTGAATGATCTGATTGTAAGACCTTTTCTGTGGCAGTTGCTAAGCGAATTACTTCGGTTGTCAAACAAATCCATGATCCTTAAGTGAACCCATGGTTTACCATGGGTGAGGTTTTGTTAGAAACAGGAAACCAAAACGCAGTGATGTGACTGTGGGACACTGCAAATGGCAATAAACATGGTCCAGTTTCTGATCATCCAATATGGTCACAAGGTAAGTAACCTCAGGCAGGTCTGTTGGAACTTTGGTCTGTTGCTAAGTAATCAGGTCTAAGTCAAGGACAACAATTCATTTTCTTTCTAAATTGCAAGACTGAGGTGCCAGGACTTACTTGTTGAATGGTTTGTTAGCTCCTTCAGCTGAAGGAAAGGGTCGAGTGTAGGAAAACGGAAACCAACCTTTCCTGAAAGTGTGAGGCATAAATAGTTAAGAGAGAAAGAAGAGCACAAAACCTCTTTTTTGTTTTCTCCCCATCTGAAGGAGGGGAGGCATCAAATTGGACCCATTGCTAGGGTTTAAAAAAAAAAAGACAGAATAAAGTAATGCAAAGAGGAAAGCCAGAGTTCAAGCGGTCTTTGTAAACTCTCACTCCCACTCTGCCTGAATTTTTATGGAGGGGAATCAAGTATAGTAGTTTGAATCTTGGATTAGGAACAAAGAGAACTAGATTCGAATTCCTGCTCCACCACAGACTTCATAGAACACTTTGGGACCAATTGCTATTTTTCAACCCAAACTATCTCAGAGGAAGTTATCAAAAATAAATGGGTTTAGGATGATTGGATTTATGGATAGGTTAATGTCAAGTCACAATCCCTGATTTAGAAACTACAACAGGCTGGCTCAGCCTCAGCTGGCTCAGCCAAAACCAAAGCACATTCTGGCTTAGAGCAATGTCAGTTTGCGGTCACTTACATCTATTTGGCCCACCGGGGAGGCCGGGAATGTTGTGGGCCTTCTCTCCTGAGGAGGTACATCTGGCTGGATCTAGAATGAGGGCCTTTTCCATGGTGGCCCCCTCCCTTTGAAAAACACCACCCCATGGAGAGTAGCCTCTCCCCCCCCCCCACTTTTAACATTCTTTCTCAAGGCCCTGGAGACCTGATTTTGCCAATGGGTCTGGGGAACTCAGAGTGGCATGGAGCCCATCAAGTGGCTTGTTTGATTGCTTGTTGTCACCAGGGTGGGTGGGTGGGGTGGGTGTTGTTTTTACATGTTTATATTGGATTTTTATTTTTTGTAAGCTCCCTAGAGTCACTGAAAGGGAGTGGAGAGCCATATACATTCTCTAAATAAATATGATCTTTTGATTTGTTTTAGTCAGGGGCTTTTCCCACTGTGGGTTGATGCTCTTTCTTATCCCTGGTAGCTATCTGGAATCCCTTAGCTAGAGCCCTATGCCTCTCCTCCAATTTGACTGGGACCCTTTCTTTTAATAGGGAAGCCTTTTATTTAAATGTCATGAACCTCATATTTGAGTTTTGTCCACTGCATTCCTGTAAACAGAAACAAACTGACAGGAGGGATCTAGCCTACAAATGGGAAAGAGAATATAAGTAGTGTTCCAGTTACAACTGTAATGGATCTTGCCCGTTATGGTCATAAATCATAATGACTGTAAAAAAGAAAACAATTTTCTGGCTTATTTTGCAGTGATTGTTAAGCAAATTACCATGGTCATTAAGTGAATTACAGTGATTGTTACTTAAACCAATTGTTTGCTATGGGTGTGGTTTTCTAACTACCACACCAGATTTCAGCAAAACGATTATAAAATGTGGGACGGGACGGGACACTGCAAATGGCCATAAAAGCAGTTGTGCTGTTGAACACCGAAAATGCAGTCATGTGACCACCTGGGAATGGAGCTGACCCTTGGAACTTAGGATCCAGGCCGTAAGTCCCTCTTTTTTCTTTTTTTTTTTTTGAGTCTGTCATAATTTTAGTCAGTTGCTAAGTGACCAGTCATAAATTGAGGACTACCTGTAGTAATCTAGCTTTTTTAGGGCAAAAAGAATAGAGGGGTTTTCACTCACATTCCGGTTGTCTCATTTTCCCCATAATGCCATCCATCCTTCGCCTCAGAAACCAATAAAAGGATGATATCTCCCTCTTGGAAGTTGAGAAGGGTGCTGTTCCCTCCTGCCGAATGGGAGAAGATTGCCTGGACTCTTGGACGATCGGAACGTGGAGTCAGGATTGAAAGAGGATTAATGCGGGGCAGAGTCTTGTTCTCTGCTGCGAGAAAGGGTAGGGAGGATAGGTGGAAATTAATGGCATTCCTGGATTATGTTTCTCCCCTGCTGTTTTCTGCTTAGGCAAAGTAAACCCTTGAGCAATATTTCTCAGCTTTCATAACTTGAAGATGAGTGGACTTCAACTCCCAGAATTCCCTAGCTAGCATAGCTGGCAGAGGAATTCTAGGAGTTGACGTTTACAAGTTAGAGATATCTGTATTAGGGAAGGGACACCAGGTTGCAATTCCATGTAAGAGTAACTCCATAAGGGGTCTTGTCTTTCCCTCACAGAAAATGCTGGACTTCTCTTGATATTTTTGCACCTTTTCAACCAGTGTCCTCAGTTCCAAAAATGGCACAATAATGAAAAAATGGATTTTATTCATCTTCTTGCAAAGAATATGGTAATTTACATTCTTCCAACACTCTAGATCAGAATTTAGAGAGAACAGGAAGGATCAAATGTCAAAATCCTGGAACTACAGCTAGTCCTCGATTTACAACAGTTCTTTTAGTGATCATTCAAAGTTACAATGGCACTGAAAAAAGTGACATGACCGTTTTTCACACTTATGACCAATACATGGTCATGTGATCAACATTCGGATACTTGTTGAACCAATATCAACATTGGTTGAACCAATATCAACATTGGTTGAACCAATATCAACTTTGGTTCATATTTATATTTGACATATTTACTATGTCCTGGGATCATGTGATCAGCTTTTGCAAACTTCGGACAAGCAAAACGAATGGGGAAGCCAGATTCATTTAACAACCGTGCTACTAACTCAACAACTGCAATGATTTGCTTCACAATTGTGGTAAGGAAGGTCATAAAATGGGCCAAAGCTCACTTAACAAATGTCTCACATAGCAACATAATTTGGGGGCTCAAGTTGTGGTTGTTAAGTCGAGGACTACTTATATTGCCGAAAGATATAGTGGCTGAAGGAAGATGGACTCAGAATGGGATGCAAATTAGAATGGATGCAGAATACTCACCTACTGTGGCCAGGCGAGTTTCCTTTGACATTTTGTGTGGTATTGGCAGAGTGCAAGAATAGCTGTCAGCAACCTTGATTTGTGAAGAGGTCTGGGTGGGGATCAGACCTGAAGTGGTAGCAGTGAGGGGCACGCTGATTGACAGGTGATTGAAGTCACGGGATCCCCGCCCACGGTGCAAATCCCCATTTAGCAGTACTGTTCCTTCCTGGATCGAAGTCCTCTGTGGGAGATAAGTTAGGCATGAATAAATGCAGGGCACTGATGAGATCTCATACAGATCCTTTCTTCCTTTTTTTTTCTCCTGTAGAAGAAATGCATCTTCTTTCATGAGCTAAAGGCCAGGAAAGCCTACCCCATTCCTGCTCCAGGCCATACCAGAAGGTGCCATTTGGAGACCTTGATGGTTTTTGGAAACTCAAACCCAAACAGTGAAGAAGGCAAAGGGAAAAGCTAATATCCCGTTTATCAGCCCTGACCCACAAACACTCACGCGATTTTGTCCCAATTCTAAAGGCTCTTCCAAGGTCTTGGAGACAAGGAGAGGATCCATGCCTGGGGCAGAAATGCCAGCTGTGGTGTTGTTGGCGGTGAGCTTGACCAGGGCCAATGCCCGCTCAGGTAAACGAGTAGGTTGGATGCACGATGTTTGCCAAATGGGCAGTTTGGCTGACAAAAGCTCCTGCACCTGTTGCAAATGAGATAACGGTTGTCTGATCACCCTTTTAGCTAGCCAAGTTATACCCTTTCTGAAGAGTTTCTGGTGCTCTTTAAGCTTGGTTAGTGTCATGGTGGCACAGTGGTTAGAAAGCAGTACTGCAGGCTACTTCTGCTGATTGCTGGCTGCCAGCAGCTTGGCACTTCAAGTCTCCCCGGCTCAAGGTTGACTCAGCCTTCCATCCTTCCAAAGTTGGTAAAATGAGGACCCAGATAGTTGGGGGCAATATGCTGACTCTGTAAACTGCTTAGAGAGGGTATCAACTCTGAAATAGATCAAACACATGGCAACCATCTTCCGTTTCTAAGTTACCACAGAGCTCGGGGAGGGGGGAGAGGAATGGAATGTGATCCAGCCAAAACAACCTACCAGTCTCAGACTCTGGCTGGCATCTGTTGGGAGTGACCTTGGTTCCCACGGATAGTAGATTGTTTTGGCTGGATCGCATTCCATTCTTCTCCCCCTCCACCACCCTCCCTGAGCTATGTGGCAGCTTGAAAAACTGAAGATGGCTGTTGTGGCCTTGATCCATTTCAGAGTTGACAGAGGGATGTAAAGCATTTGGACCTGTATATAAGTCTAAGTGCTATTGCGACTGGTTGTTTTGCTGCAGATAATAATCAGACAACAATCAAGAAGTGCACAATACCCCAATCAAAGAATTGCCAAACAAGCCAATAGTAAACAACCCAACCAAAAACCCACCAAGACCACTTTCACCAACAGAGCAAGCCACTTTTTTTATTAAGAGAACAAACCCCACTTCCTACTTGCATTGATGATGTAACCTAGCTTGGGTAATGAAATGTCTGCAAGAAAACAACCAAGCTCAGAGAGCACCAAGGACCCCTCATTTCAACCCTGAATTACAAACATTCTCTTTATCTATACCCTTTCTCTCTAAAACTTGCCAGTACAAGTAGTCCTACTTACAACCACACTTTGAACCCAAAATTTCTGTTGCTAAGCAAGGCAGTTATTAAGTGAGTTTTGCCCCATTTTATGAACTTTCGTGCCACAATTAAGTGAATCGCTGTAGTTTTTAAGTTAGTAACAAGGTTGTTAAGCAGTGGTGGGATTCAAAATTTTTCCTACTGGTTCTGTGGGCGTGGCTTGGTGGGCGTGGCAGGGGAAGGATACTATAAAATCCCCATTCACTCCCAACTCCTGGGGGAAGGTTACTGCAAAATCCCTCCCCACCCCACTAACCTGCTTTCCAGCTCCATTGCAGGGCAACAAAAGAAGAGCCAGCCGACCAGCTGGGACTCGAAAGGCAGAGAATAGATGGGGACTTGCCAACAGTAGAAAATCCACTGAGCTGTGTTAACAAACAATTGCTTCCTAGTTTGAGGAAGGAAAATATTGTCTTGGCACCCTGCTTGCCTTTGATTCCAAGCATGGACAGGAAGCTTCGTTACACAATTATAAGAACTAGAAACTTAAACAAGGAGTTAATATATCCCTTCATTTAACATTCAGCTAAAAGAGACCCTTGTGTGTATGTCTGAGACAAGTATGAAAAGGGAATTTTAATTTATTGATTAAATAGGTTTGCTAGGCTCCTGAGGAATACTCTCCTTTGAAGCTAGTATATGTTTGGAGAAGGAATCCTTCCTTTGAGCTAATAAATCTTTCATGCAAAAGGAGCTCCAAGGGAGGAATTTATTTAGAATTTTAAAAAGCAGGAAAAAATAAATTTGATGCAGTCTCAGTAAATATCGCCACTCCTGGCAACGTGATATTCACGTTGAATAAACAGAAATCCTTAACACCACTTCCAAATTCCTCTTTACTTTACCCTAACCTTTTATTTCCCATTGTTCCCCCTAAGTTCAAACAGGAATATGTATCTTTGATTTTCCATCTGGGGATTCATGTTGCCTTCCCATTATTTGATTTTACAAGTAATCCTTGCTTATAACCACAATTGCAGTCAAAAAATTTTGTTGTTAAGCAAGGCAGTTATTAAGTGAATTATGCCCCATTTTAGAATCTATTTTAACAACCTATTTTATGATTGTTAAATGAATCACTGCCGTTGTTACGTGAAACAGGCATTAAGTGAATCCAGCTTCTCCCATTGACTTCGCTTGCCAGAAGCAAGGGAAGGTCACAAATGGTCATGACATGACCCTGGGATATTGCAACCATTATAAATATGTGCAGGTTGCCAAGTTCAAATTTTATCATGGTGACCATGGGAAAGCTGCAATGGTCACAAGTGCGAGGACCAGTCATAAGTCAGTTCTTTTCAAAGCCACTGTAACACTGAACAGTCACTAAACGAATGGCTGGAAGTCGAGGACCATCTGTGGTTAAACATGGGGAATGCTATACTTCCACATTGCAAAAAAAATAGTAGCCACAGCGACACTATCAAAAAAATGCAGGATAATGGCCATAACTAAAGTTTTTCTGACATCTCTCTTGCAAATATAGAATGACAACGCACACAGGAATCCTTGTTTCCAAGTTTTGTGGACGATATCTAGGGTGAATTTGAACTCAAAGTGAATGCCAGGACAGGGGAGGAGAGGAAGCGCAAAAGAAGCAGCTCACCTTGCTGTGATAATTGTTGAAGTACTTGGAAACAGCACACTGGCGATCCACCAGGAATGAATAACGGCGCCGTTCCTCTGTCAGGGCTGCTTTGTAGCCTTCCGCCACAAACCGATCCAGCTCGCTCTGCTTGGTGCTCAGGATTTCCACATACTAAGAGAGAAAGAGAGAGAGAGAGAAAGCAGACAACTCCCAATTGATCCAGAGATAGGACAATGGCCATCGTTTAATCAAGAACAATGCTTCATGGCAAGTAGCGTCCTCAGGGTATGGTCATGAAAATCTTAATCAGTGCTTCCCAACGGGTAGCCATTTTAAGATGTCTGGACTTCAATTCCCAGAATACCCCAGCCAGCATGGATATTCTGGGAGTTGAAGTCCAGACATCTTAAAATGGCTACCGTTGGGAAACACTGGTCTACATGCTGTCCACAATGGTGCAATCAAAACTCCCCCTATTTTTAAAGTGGGTTGGACCTTGGACTAATCATTTTAATCCAATATCCAGGATTGGTTGACCATATTTTGAAAGTACCCCCATTATACAGGATCCAGGTACCCCAAACATCAACCTTCTCCAATCAGGAGCCTTCCATCAGTTTGGAGACTACAGCTCCTAGAATCCCCAGCCCTTGGCTCTTAAAAAAGCAGCAGGTTAAAATGTGCCCAGTATAAGTGCAGTAGAATGTACTTATTATTGTTGCTGTTATCATGTTATTATTTCATACCCAATTTTGATGTCCTATTACAGCCTTTCCCATATCCCAACCCTCCTATCTGCAACATTTTGTTGATTGGTTAGTTATTTCAACTCCTTCAATTTGTCCTAAAAAACAAAACTGAAACATTCTATTTTGTATTCAAGTTTTAACATTTACCAGATATAATTTCGCCCTATTTTTCTGCTTAAGCCTCTACTAGATCCTAAGCATATTGCATGACTTACACATATTATTATCGCTAGCATATGTTTAAAGGAACAGCAGTCTATCGTTTCCCAGATACATTAGATTTTCCCACAATCTACGGCTGCTTTGTGCACAGATGATGTGTGGTAGCTGTGGCCCAAAACCCCAGAAGGGTGCAAGACTCCTCTGGTATCTGACACCCTCCTTAAATGAAGAGTGCTCTGTGCTCTCTGAGCTTTCTTTCTTGCAAACATTTATTACCCAAACTAGGTAACATCATCAGTGCACTCTGGAGCATCAAGAGCACAATAATATTACCTGGTTTGGGTAATGAAATGTCTGCAAAATACCAACCAAGCTCAGAGAGCACCAAGGACTCTTCATTTCAACCCTCAGCTACAAATATTCTCCTTAATATTCTCCTTACCATCCTTAATTTTTTTTTTTTTTAAAGGATTCCTAGGAGAAACACTCTAAAAAATTTCATGGAACTTCAATACCTTTGTCCTGCTTGTATCATCGTAATCACACGCACATACACAAAAAGGAAGAAAATGCTCAGATTTGTGTTAAGCGCTGGATTTTCTATTATCGGCACCTTAGGTTGGCAGGCAGTGGGCAATCTCAGAAGATACGGGCAATAAAGGGTTATTTTGTGCCCCTTCCTTACTGCACCCCCCCAAGCTGCAGCAGGCCTTGATCCTGAAGTAATGGTTACTGTGGCAACAAGGTTGACAAAAGGAGCCCAAAGCTTGCTGTGGGGATTCCCAGGATGGGGAGGGGAGGAGGGAAGATAAATAGGGGGTGCAGGGCACTAGCCCAGAGTGAGTCAGGGAGCTAGGAGGAAGTAGTATGAATGCAGGATGAGTTGTGTCAGCTTGCCAGCCTGGCACACCCGGCAGATGCAAGACCACACTGGTGAGTGGCCTACTTTCTGGTGCAATACTGTAAAATTAGATTTCTGGCTTGCTTTTTTATTTTTAGGGCTGCATCCATCCCCTTTGAGGCTCAGGAGAACAGTTGAGGAGTTACTGTGCATGAGAAAAAGTGATGCAAAAGGAGCACTACAGATACAGGACTCCGGCAAGGCAAATACATGTAGAAATAAGGTTCTATATATGTTTTGCACAATGGGGCCTATAAGTGTTCTGCATAAGGACAGGGTTTGTAAATGTTTTGCATGAGAACAGGGCCTGCAGGTGTTTTGCACAAGAACTGTTAATGGACATCATGTGGCAAAACTGGGTGTGCATTTGTGGGCAGGTGTGTAAAACAATCTGTGCATCAGGGTGATTTTTTTCCTCCACAGGTAGCCCCTCCACAGAGCTTATCTTTCTAAGCTCCAAATGGCCACAGAATATTAAACCCTTTCAAGACCTCACCTTCTTAGTGACCCCAATCTTAGCACTAGACAGCAGCCCAAGGAGAAGGCAGTGACCCAGACACAGATGGGAAGGGGAGGGAGCAACAGCTGTCAGGTTTCATTTTTGCACTGTAGAAGACAGCAACTCTTAATGCACAGCTGAAAGTAAGAGGCCATTTTGAAAGACTGCAGAAAGTCAATCTTTCAAGCATTTTCCACCTTATACCTTTTTTTGCATCCAGATTGCATTAATTTGCATACTTAGTGCCATAAAACAACATAGGCCTCAAATTTTGTCAGATTTTAAAAATTCAGCATATCCAACATTCTTTGTATTAGCTGAATTATTAAATATTATTAATATTATTAATATTTTTGGAGGAAATGTGCGTTTGTGTTGTCTGGGTTTTAACATCTAATAGCATCTATTTAGCATCTGTGGTTATTCAACTCTGCCAATTTATTTTCACGGTCAACCCACTTCCTTTTGTAAGTTCAGTTAGCGGTAATCATGTACACTGAAGCTATTCATATAGGTAGAACTGCAATGGCCACTGGAAACCACCGCCTTCTATATATATGCCATTGTAGAATTGCTTACCATATTGCAATCCAGATGTGTTAGTGCTCTCCAGATGTGTTGGACCAGAGGTGGTATTCATCATGTTCTGACCAGTTCTGGAGAACTGGTAGCGGAAATTTTGAGTAGTTCAAAGAACCAGAAAATACTACCTCTGACTGGAGATTTTACAGTATCCTTACCCTGCCACGCTCACAGAACTGGTAATGAAAAAATTTGAATCCTATCAGTGTGCTGGACCCATCCTGTAGTTGTTAAGCAGCATGGCCTTATTGGATAATGGTTATGAGGATTGAAAGAAATATATGTTGTGATTGACAGGTTGAAGAAGGTGTAGCTTTATGTCATGCATTTCCTCACTGCTGATCCATATTAATGGCTGCTCTTGTGCTGTGCAGGGAAATATGTGAGCATGGTGCATAAGGGAAAATGGTATGGAATAAATAAAATCAGGCTGCCACACTAACAATTATGAATAAAAAATAGTATTTTTAGTTGGCTTGATTCACACAAACCTCACTGAACCATAAATGTGTTTGGGTTGGGTTTGGTCAAGTGCTTTCTATTAATGCAGCCATTTGTGACTAAATTAGTGTTTCTCAACCTCAGCCACTCAAGACATGTGGACTTCAATTCCCAGAACTCCCCAGCTAGCCAACCCAGTTTCTGGGCTGCAGCTCACTACCAGGCCCTGAGCTATTCAGAACCAGGCCAGAAAGGAATTCTGTTTACAAAACACAAAACAAAACAAATCCAGTAACAAACTTTGTTAAAGAAAAAGGGAAATATTAATACAGAAGCGTTTGTAAAGAGAAAAATCCCATTAAATTAGTTTGAAGAGTCAATTCTGTGCAAAGTTGATAAAACTGCCTGGTTGGATAGATCATTTATTGAACTCAGCAGAAGGGAGTTTGGCCTGTAATTTTTTATGTACATCTTATATATAAACATGTCCATTGGCCTGTAATTTTTAATGTACATCTTATATATAAACATGTCCATTGAACTGGTGAAGTCTGGCTGATTTATTAGTGGCCTGAATCCCACACATCCATTTCTGACAGGATATGAACTTTATCTCCTCCAGAAGTTCTGAATGTTCTAATTGTTTTCTTAAGATTTCTTTTTGCAATGTCCTTCTCCCTTCCCTTCTCCATCAAAAACCTACCTGCACTTCACGATCCCCATACTTCATTGGGTTTTTGCTATGCTGACATTTCTTGCGCAGTTTCTTCAGCTCAGTCTGAGACTTTTCAATTGATTCAGCTTTGGCACGATATTCTGCTTGGTATTTCTTCAGGGTCGCCTAAAAGTTGGGAAACGGGATTAAACAAAGGACCATGGCCAGATCAGCTTTGAAGTTATAGGAATGTTGCCATCATATGTGATTTACGCGCTCATTTTCTCAGATTCAGAATAATGTCAGATGGTGCTCCATTCAAAATCCAAGAAAGAAATACTTAGACTCCATTAATTAGAGAAAAGATATCTTTTACTGGAAATCAAATGGTAGCATCAAAGGAATTCTGAATCTGAGAAAATGAGTGCATAAATCACATATACAAAGTGATGGCAACGTTCCCACCCACAACAGTTCAATTTGTTCATCTAATAAAAAGTTGTGTATAACATCATGTGGGCATCTCCAGGTGGTGATGAGGCCTCTGTCCGTTGACCTTGACATATTTTGATAAAGAGCTACAGCTGCACATAGGATAGAAGCCTAAACAAGAAACTTTTCCCCCCAACTTATACAGTTCTGTTTTGTAAAACTTCCAGCCCGCTTCCCATAACCATGTCCTCCCTCCTCCCCAGTTACTTATGACAGCCGAAAGATGCAAAGCAAAGGAAGAAAATCTTGAAGGCTGACATATGGTTTTCATATCAAAGTACAGATATTTCTGGAATTGCTGTCAAGTTCTGAATCCTTTTCAACCAAAAACAGAGGGCCATACAGATAGTCCTCACCTACTCCCTGCTTTGTTTAGTGACTCTTCAAAGTTACAATGGTGGAGGGGGGAAAGCTTTGTGAGCAATCCTCACATTTATGACATGCAGCATCCTGCAATCACATGATTCTCATTTGTGACAAAAAGAGTTCATAGAGAATGAGAAGGTAAACTCCTAAGTGATATTTTGCCAGTCCCAATTGTAGTCATTAAGTGAGGACTATTTGAATGTTGACAAGAAAAGTTGCTTCTAACTTGATGAAGAGTCAAAATCCATGTCAAACCGAGATACTAGATTTCACAACTTGGTATTCTCCAGATGGATCAGACTTTTAATTGACAGGAAGATTCTTGGAATTGAAATCCAATACAAGTATTGGTCATTCGATTTGGAAAACTGGGTTCCCTGAGGAATGCTGGCTGACCTGTCAGGCACAAAGAATCAGGACCCTTTATAAGGTTGCAGCATAGATTTATTCAAGCCTATAGACAAGAATCTGGTCAACTAAAGGTCAACACAAAATTGGTGCCTGATAAGGGTCAATGGAATTCAAGAGAGGTTGGACTTGGGAGTGTTTATGGGAATGCAACAACTCTAAGCTGATGATATGCTTAACTCCACCCTCCAACTCTGTCTGCTCTTCGCTATACTAATTAAAAAATTCCAAACTTAAAGCTGGGCTCTCTTTAAGCCATGTTTAGTTTTGGCTTACCACATTATGTCAACATGGTTAATGAAAGCATGCTATCTGAATCCAGCTAGTATAGATTGGATAAAATATATAATAATGAGGAAGAGGTGATGGTCAGCCACAGAGAGATAAATTTGAAATTGTGGAGCAGAGAGAAATAGATGAATCTTTTCACTTACCACCAGATATTTGATATCCAGTTCCAGTTTGTGTTCCAGCTGGGATAGCATATCAGAGTGGAAAAACTTCAGCTAAGAGCATGGGATGGGAAAGCAAAGAAGGGCAGGTGACAATTGGGCAAAGTGAGACCAGTGCTTCTCCCTCCATTCCCTCTCTTCTGAGTCCCAGAAATGGCTGTGAGACATTGACATGGTATTGGCTGCAGGTCTAATCTAGAACGTGGTGCCAGAATAAGCAGGCTATTAATCTAACTGAACAGGCCTGGTGCTGTGCTAATATCACATACAGATACTCACCGTCTCCTCCAACTGTACTTGCATCTGCCTGTGGACTTCAGCCATCTGGAACAAGGTATCACCTGAAGGCCAAGACAACTGAAGGGTTAATGCACCCAAGGTAGTCCCTCCACATTTAAAGATCTTTTTGTACCCTACTTGATTTCTCTGTCCCAGGGTAATCTCCTTTGCAATTAATTCAATTCCCTGATGTTATCCGAAGAACAGCTTTCAACTGGAACTAGCAAAACAAGGCATTTCATGCTCTAGAACAGGGTTTCTCAAGTTCAGCAACTTTAATGCTGGCTAGGGAATTGTGGGAGTTGAAGTCCATATAGCTTTAAGTTGCCACGGTTGAGAAACCCTGCTCTAGAGCAGGGGTCGGCAACCTTTTGGACCTCAGGGACTACCAAACACATAATTTTAAATCCCGGGGACCACTAATATGAATTTTGACTGATGGTGGCTTGCTGACGTTGGTGGGAAAGAGAGAGAGAGAGAAATAGATCTGATCTAACCCCTCTCTCCCCCACCCTCACACACACACACACACACAGAGAGAGAGAGAGAGAGAGAGAGAGAGAGAGAGGCAGGGGTGGGATTCAAATTTCTTAACTAATTCTTGGGTGTGGCCTAATTTATGGGTGTGGCTTGGTGGTCATGTGACTGGCCGGGCATGGCTTGTATGTAAATATTATAAATATATAAAAAAAATGTATTTTTTATTAAAAAAGAGCAACTTTTACACAAAATCAGGCAAAGCAGGCAGGCTGCTTGAGTTGCTCACAGAATCACAGATTCAGAGATCTATCTTTCTGCCATTGGCTACCTGAGTCTGTCACGTAAAATTTGCTTGTAAGCAAACTCATAAAATTTGCTAGCAAGCAAACTCACAAAATTAACTCACATCCAACGATTTCCTGCTTTCTAGCTAATCTAAATCTCCTGGCACAGCAGAACAGCTGGTGGTCGGGGAAAAAAAGGAAAAATAGCAACTTAGCAGGCAAGTTTGCCAGGTAAGGAGTGAGTGGGCAGGGACAGTTCCCATGGGCAATGTGGGCGGGGCAGATTTGTGTTTCTGCACAGCCTGGATTAATTGCTTTGGGGGGGGGGTGCTCTGGGGATGACATTTCTCTGCAGACCACCAAAATTTTCTCACAGACCACCAGTGGGCTGCAGACCACTACTCTAGAGAGCTTTGGAGACAGCTGTGTACATTTAGTCTTGAGTCAGCAACCTGTGATCTACATACTTTAATTATGGTACACACTACAGATTAAATATAATACAGGGGTACCCGACCCCTGGGGCTGCTGCACAGTACTGAGCCACAGCCTGTTCAAAACCTGGGCCACGGGAGAAATGGCCCAGCGTGTGCATGTGAAGCTCCAGTTGCGCGAGTGGAGAGCATTTGCACTAATGCGCAGAGCTTCATTTGTGTGAGTGCCCTCCGGTCGCATAAATGAAACTTTGCACATGAGCACAAGTGCCCTCTTCTCATGTGACTGGAGCTTCATACACGAGTGTATGTGCCTGCTGCTTGTGCCCAAGAATGCAACCGCCCTCCACTCACACGGAAAGCTCCATTCGTTCAAGAGGAGGGTGTGCATGCACAAATGTAGCTGTGCAAGTGTGTGCCTGCCATTCACACACACCCCTTTACACTGCACCAAGCTGGGCTGCCAAGCTGGAAAGATTGGGGACCGCTGACGTAATATAGCAATAGCACTTAGACTTATATACCGCTTTATAGTGCTTTACAGCCCTCTCTGAGCAGTTTACAGAGTCAGCCTATTGCTCCCAAACAATCTGGGTCCTCATTTTACCCACCTCGCAAGGAGGGAAGGCCAAGTCAACCTTGAGAATTGAACTGCCATTTTGCAGGCAGCCTGCAGGCAGCAGAAACAGCCTGCAATACTGCACTCTAAGCACTGTCCCACCACAGCTCTACCTGGTAATATACAGGTAATCCTCAACTTACAACCATTTGTTTAATAACTGTTCAAAGTTGTGATGGTGCTGAAAAAAGTGACTTAGGACCCGTCTTCACACTTATGATCATCGCAGCTTACTTGTGGTCACTCGATTGCAATCTGGACCCTTGGCAACCATCTCACATTTATATTTGAAAAATCCCAGAGTCACAGGGTTGCTATTTTGCTATTTGAGATCTTCCCTGCTGACAAGCAAAGTCAATGGGGAAAATGACAGGATCGTGTCATGTGTTGCCTTGCTCAATAACCGTGACGAAAAGGTAAAAAAAATCAGGTGCAGTCATGTGATACCTCACTTAACAACCATACCACTTCGCATCAAATTTTCCAGTCCCAATTGTGGTCGTAAATTGAGGATTAAATGTTTCGGCAGCCTTCGATTTATAACCACAATAGAGCCCAACATTTCTGTTGCTTAAGTGAGACATTTGTTTTTTGCCCCATTTTATGACCTTTCTCACCACCTTTTTACGTGAATTACGACAGTTGTTAAGTTAGTAACCTGGTTGTTAAGTGAATCTGGCTTCCCCCATTCATCTTGCTTGTCAGAAGGTCGCAAAAGGAGATCACATGACCCCGGGACACAGCAACGGTCATAAGTCTGAACCAGTTGCCACATGTCTAAATTTTGATCTTATGAATATGGGGATGCCGCTATGGTAGTGAGTATGAAAACTGCCATAACTCCCTTTTTTCAGTGCCACTGTAACTTCAAATGGTCACTGTTAAGTCGAGGACCACCTGTAAATCCTGAACGTAGACAGGCATATCCCCATGTTAAAAAAAATACAAGTAGTTAGGAGTAACTTAAGAGACAAGCAAAAATCTATGGATGTAGAACAGCTGTCAGCCTTGGAAGCCATTTCCTTGGAAGCTTCGATGCTACCACATTTAGTGCCCGGAAATCGGGAGTGGGGAATAGCAGAGTGGGATGGAAGAGTAGACACAACAACATTCTTTCTCAGAGTGTCAAGGACAGGATGCCCTGCTCTTGGAGAGGAGGGACTGGGAGGATGTCTTCAGTTGGGATAAAGAATTGCTTGGACCAGGTGGTGGACCGATGGGTGCAGGGGTGTGTGTGTAATTTTGATTTCTCTTTTGGGAGGGGAAAACCCAGAACTCCCAGATTCAGGTTTTCCCACATCTGCCAATATGACTTCTCTAAATAAATTCTTACTTGGGGGAACTTTGTTTCTGAGTGATGAACGGAAATGGAGAGTTTGATTGGAACGCTGACAACAGCCTTTTGCAACTAGTCCCCTCTAAACGTGCTAGATATTTACAAGCCCCATCATCCACGGCCAGAGCCTTAGGTCTAATGTTGTCCTTGTCATTTACTGGACAAGGTCCCTCAGCCTGCCTACACTTAATTTCATTTATAAAATAAGTTTTAATTAAACCCATGAATGATAATGTCCCCTGCTTTGTAACAAAACGTTTGCTACAAACATAATCTTCATTTCAACAACTCCTGTGGCCCTCAAGAAAACTCTGGAGGCATTCATAGAAAATAAAATGCTAAAAATCCCAAAGCCCCCAAAATAACTTAAAGTAGCTTATGGATAGTTATATAATTAAGTGCACCAGCAATAAGCCTGTTCTTGGGCTGTACCATACTTATTGATGTCCCAAAGGTGTTTTTTCAAGAGGCAACTGGACTTTCTTGTGTTTCTTTGATGACATTTTGCTTCTCACCCAAGAAAATTCTTCAGTTCTGACTGGAGGGTGGGGAATGGAAGGATTTATATTTATATTCCTTGCAGACAGCTGGTCCCTTGCATTATTTTAGAGAGTCCTTGAGGCCACCTGGAGGTTTGTCTGTGTCTTCAGGGTCACCTAAGTGGTGCAAATTGGTGTGGCCTTCTTGGAACTGCTGAAGGAACTGTGTGGTAGATTGGAGATAGATGATGTCCTATCCTTCCCCCTCTGTTGAGACAAGACCATCCCATTTGGACACAGATGGCCACTTTGACCCCTCTTTCAAACTAGCGGTCCTCTCTGTCCAAAATGTGGACTTTGCTGTCTTCAAAAAAAAAATGGCCTTTGTCCTTTCAAATGCTGAATCATGTCCTGATGAGTTTGTTCTCCTATATTGTGCTTTGCGTTTATGAAATAGTTGTTTTGTTTCCCCAATGTATGGAACTGCACATGTCTCACTGCATTGTACTGAATATTGGATGAGAAACAAAATGTCTTCAAAGAAAAAACAGAAAGTCCATTTGCTTCTTGAAAAAGCACCTTTGAGACAACCATGACCTGGATGACTGAGAATATCCATAGACATACTTACTGATATTTGGGGGAGGGGGGTTGTTCTGACAATAAAATATGAAAAAAAAAAATCCCTATTTTTCTCTCAGGTGTAAATGGCATGTTTGATCATTCTTCCTCAGTACAAAACTGTACAGCAGAAGCAAAATTTCCCAGCTGATTCTGCTGAACACATAACTAAGTTTTTCATTTCAGTTTACCTTAAATGCATGGAGTTGCTTCTCTCTGGGGTTTGTTTCCATGATGCCACCAGTATAATGTCGTTGCCAAATTATAAAGGTACCAATCACATAATATACATTATGCAACCACAAGAGAGCCCAATATTTCTGTTGCTAAATGAGACATTTGTTAAGTGAGCTTTGCCCCATTTTATGACCTTTCTCACCACCTTTTTACGTGAATTATGACAGTTGTTAAGTTAGTAACCTGGTTGTTAAGTGAATCTGGCTTCCCCCATTCACCTTGCTTGTCAGAAGGTCGCAAAAGGAGATCACGTGACCCCGGGACACAGCAACGGTCATAAGTCTGAACCAGTTGCCACATGTCTAAATTTTGATCATATGATTATGGGGATGCCGCTATGGTAGTGAGTATGAAAACTGCCATAACTCCCTTTTTTCAGTGCCACTGTAACTTCAAATGGTCACTGTTAAGTCGAGGACCACCTGTAAATCCTGAACGTAGACAGGCATATCCCCATGTTAAAAAAAATACAAGTAGTTAGGAGTAACTTAAGAGACAAGCAAAAATCTATGGATGTAGAACAGCTGTCAGCCTTGGAAGCCATTTCCTTGGAAGCTTCGATGCTGCCACATTTAGTGCCCAGAAATCGGGAGTGGGGAATAGCAGAGTGGGATGGAAGAGTAGACACAACAACATTCTTTCTCAGAGTGTCAAGGACAGGATGCCCTGCTCTTGGAGAGGAGGGACTGGGAGGATGTCTTCAGTTGGGATAAAGAATTGCTTGGACCAGGTGGTGGACTGATGGGTGCAGGGGTGTGTGTGGAATTTTGATTTCTCTTTTGGGAAAATGAACAAGTCACAATGCCAATGTTCATAATGTAAACCAATCTTTCTCAATTTTGGCAACTTTAAGGACATGTGGACTTCAACTCCCAAAATTCCCCAGCCAACAATAGTCAGGCCACCATATCTGAGCTGCAAAAATCCAGACAGGGGTTAGATGGCCACACAGCTATGCAGAAAACACTATATATAATTGTCAACTTACAAGGGAGCCCAAAAGTTTCACTGTTAATCAAGGCAGTTGTTAAATGAATTGTGCCTCATTTTACAACCTTTTTTGCCACAGTTAAGTGAATCACTGCAGTTGTTAAGTGAATCATGTGGTTACTAAACAAATCTGGCTTCCCCCACTGATTTGCTTTTTGGAAGATGGCTGGGAAGGTTACAAATGGTGATTAGAAGACCCCGGGGACAGTGCAACAGCCATAAACACATGCCAGTTGTCAAGAGACTGAATTCTGATCATGTGACCCTGGGGATGCTGCAACGGTCGTAAGTATGAAAGATGGCCATAAGTCACTTTTCAGTGACATTGTAAGTTTAAATGGTCACTAAGCCAATGGATGCAAGTTGATGATTGTCTGTATTTCTTACCATTTACTGTCTGCTTGCAATTTTGTAGCCTAGATATGTAGCCTGATCAACTCTGTCCCAACCAGAGGTGGTATTCAGCAGGTTCTGACCAGTTCTGGAGAACCAGTAGCAGAAATTTTGAGTAGTTCAGAGAACCCGCAAATACCACCTCTGACTGGAGATTTTGCAGTATCCTTCCCCTGCCCCGCCCACCAAGCCATGCCCTGTCTGTCTCTTATTAGAACATTGGCGAAGCCATAAAGTGTTTTCCAAAAGAAGTGTGTCACAAGAGGAAACATGGTTTGTTGTTTTGGAAGAGACAAAACAGATCAATGAAAAAACTTACCCAACTCTTTGGATCCTTGGCTGTCACTGGCCAACTCACCAAGTTTCACCAAGGTATCAAAGTAGCCTTTGGCAGCAACCGTAACTCCTGTAAAAGTGGACAGGGAGTGGGATAGAACAGACATCAAATAATGAAATCTGAATGCTGATGTTTCTCCTTCAAAGGACCAATGCTGACCTGATTTAAAGTCAGAGAGTTGGAATGGGGTATTCCCTTACCTGAGAGGGCTTTTTGATAACTTTTCCCCATGGTAACAAAATTCCTTAAACTTGGATTGAACTGGTCCAGAATCACCTTGTCAGAATAGAGAAGGAAACAAAACATAAACTATTCTGGCCTGATACAAAATTAAACACCTCCACAATCTCTAGAGAAAGTGTATTGTCCCAAAAGGTGCTTTTTCAAAAGGCAACCGGACTTCCTTTGTTTTTCCTTAAAGACGTTTCACTTCTGAACCAAGAAGCTCCTTTAGTTCTGATCAAATGGTGGAGAATAGAAGGGTTTACATTCCTTGACTGCAAGGAATATAAATATAAATCCTTCCATTCTCCACCATTCAGTTAGAACTGAAGAAGCTTCTTGGAGCAAAACATCTTCAAGGAAAAACAAAGGAAGTCCAGTTGCCTTTTGAAAAAGCATCTTTTGGACAACCATGACCTGGATGACTGAGAATCTCTATAGATCTAAATGTGTTTTTCCCCAGTATAATCTAATAGGAATTTAAAAGTACATAAAAGATCTCTGGCAAGATCACTTTTAGCAACCTTTGAGCTTGAAAGTGGATGAAGCATTTTGGAAAAAAGATCCAACATATGTACAACAAACATAGTTTCCTTGAAACAATAAATGATAAACCTGAAAGAGTGGCACATCTTAAAGAGGTTCATAACGACAAAAATGTAATTGTTTATAACAGAGGTCTCCAAACTTGGCAACTTTAAGACTGTGGACTTCAACTCCCAGAATTCCTCAGCCAGCATAGTCCACAAGACTAAGTTGCCAAGTTTGAGGAGCCCTGGTTTATAACTTTTGCTTTACAAATGAAAATTTAAGAGCAAAATCAAGAAAGCTTTACAAAAAGCACATATTCTAGTATCTGAAATCAAACTATACATGCATTATTTTATAAATGCAGTTCAGTTTCTCTATTTTTCACATGAATATGAAAGACTTAATTGTCATTATTTGTATGATAAAAGTTAAATAATCCAAATAAAGGACAAAGGTGAGTTTTAAGAATTCTCCTTTATAATACAGGCTTAAGGCCACTGTAATATATGTGAAAGAGAAGGAAATATGGGTTATATGGGGAGAGGTATATTGATCAGAAGTACGGAGAAGATCGAGAAGTGAGAAGAATATGATTTTGTGTGGGTCTATGTATGTATATGTGTGAGCCCATTTCACCTAGCAAACTTCAAAAACAGACAAAGATTTGAATAAGAGGCTACAGCAGTTCTAGGTTGGCATATTACCCCTTTATAGTATAGTGAGTTTCCAGGGATATTCAGGCACAGCAACGTGTCTCAGCTTTCTAACTGGGTCCTAAGCAGAACTATTGCAGAGCTAATAAAATATTGGGCTATGTATTATGGTAGTATACTACAGTACCGTACAGATAGCAGTACTCTGTACCGTACTATGCTGCAGTATTACTTACAACCACAATTGAGCCCAACATTTATGCCGTTAAGTGAGACATTTGTTTTTGCCCCATTTTACGACCTTTCCTTGCCACAGTTGTTAAGTGAATCCCTGCAGCTGATAAGTTAACAACCCAGTTGTTAAGTGAATCTGGCTTCCCCATTGACTTTGCTTGTCAGAAGGTCACAAAAAGGTGATCACATGGTGTTAGGACACAGCAATGGTTATAAATATGAACTGGTTGCCAAACACCTGAATTTTCATCACGTGATCGTGAAGATGCTGCAAAAGTTGTAAGTTTACTTTATGAATTATCTGCACATCTGACAGAAAACTTGTGGTTGAGTTTTGTTAGGAGTTCTGTAGTAAGTAGTTCCACCAAAAATCCTCCCATGTATGGTGGGGTGAACAGGGAGAGTGAAAAATTCCAGATGTTGACTGGGGTCATGTGATGAACGCACAGCCCCTTCTAAAGTCCCAGCCCTACCTCTTTTTATACCTGTCCACCACAAGGACCCAGCTGTTACTTTGACTTTTCCAAACTCTTATCTCCTCTTGAACAGACCTGCCCATCTATAAATTTGAAATTGCATCAACAGTTGGTAGATGAGTCACAAGAATCGTTATGAGATAAGAGCGCATTGGTTCCAATCCCTGGCATACATGCCTGGATACCATTGGAATGCATTTCAGGGAGAACATTTCCTGCATGCAAAAAACATCCAGCCCTGCAGAGACATTGTGGGTTCTTCTAGACTAGAGATGTTGATCTGTCCCTGCAGAGATACTTTTAAAAAAATTAATGCAGAGAAACTACATCCCCTCTTGAACTTGGAAATAATACAAAAGTCAGTCAGTTCATTCCTGCCACATGTGGCTGCATGTGTAATCCAGCCTGTGTCATCACCTAGGGGGCATGTTTCTGCCTGGCACTAAAAAGAGGCATCAGGTCAAAGATATGCCACTGTTGGCTTCCTTCCTTGGCATCTCCCTCTTCTTCTCAAAGTCAACAAAACCAACAGCCAAACCATAAATAGTAATTATTACAAATGGAGGAAAATATAATGTGTCCCAGTATAATGTTGCAGGATGCAATCAGGGACCAGAGGTTAGTCTTTCAAGTTTTTGGATTCGTGCTGGAGTCCATCTTCAGGGAATTTCTCTGTACCCGAATGTGCACAAATTCAAAAGTTCCTAGACTAAACCTCTGGCCTCAAGTGAGCAACCCAGATTGGATCCTGCAACAGTAATTATTATTTTTAGAAGCATGTATCCACAACTTACTGTGAAACAGGGTTAGAATCCAGAAAGGTCAGGATAAACATTTGTCATTCAACCAATGGGTCTAATAAAGTCTCCATCTCACTCTGTTCTATCCTACATGTTTGTGGTAAGTCCCATATCCTTGGCCTTACTCCAAAGACTAGCATACAATATTCCCATTATTTAAGAAGTATTATTACTGTAGGTCCTATATCCAGTCTTGACCTTCCAGCAGAGACTGGTATATAATATTCCCAATAATTTAGGAAACATTGGTGAGCATCAGCATGCTCCAGCTTCCTTGTGATTCCAATTCTTCAGGCCTTAAAAGACTTTTTCTCCTCCCACAAAAGGATAGCTTCACCCCATGTCATGTCAGATGTGGCTTCCCTGAGTTATGGCAGCAGCAAGCCGGGAGCACAGGAACCTTGTGCTGATGAGTGCCTTTCCTTTACAGATAAGGAAATAACCCATTAAGTCTCCATCAAGATAATTAGGGAAGGGGAACCAAATGTTTCAAAGGAGGGCGAGCAACACATGGGTTAAGTTTCATTTTTTCATCCCCAGCCAAGCTGTGTGTGTGTGGGGGGGGGGAGTGTAATTTGGCATGAAAATTGCATCATTTCCATTGGGTGGAGGGAAATACCACTACCAAACTCTTCCATCTTCACCAGAACCCAACCTGCCAAATTCCCTGCTTTCTTATATCGATTTATTTTCTTATTCTTATTGAATTTATATTCTTCCTTTTTTTTCCCCACGTGCGACCTCAAGGAAACTTTCCCACAGATTCTGCCGATTTGACGAAGTTTTCCCAAATTGTTCCAGCCACAGACGCAAAATCACGGTGGTTCGGGCTCAAAACATGAAGCCGAAGCAAAGGCAGAAGGCTTTCTTTCAATCGCCATTCGACGCAATGGGCGTCCTAACAGCTAGAAACCATTAAATGTATCCGCTAATAGCGGCATCAAACTTTTTTTTCCCCGCTTCCCATCACTACAAATTTCTCCGTTTTAGTAATTAGATAGTGATTTTTTAACAGAACGAAAGGGAAAACTTACTAGCTCTTGCTATTAAAGTCTGGCACTTTCTCAGCATCCAAAAGATGGGGGGGGGGGGCAGCGGAGGAAGGGGGCTTCTGGAACATTATGTCCCAATTCCTCTTTCCACGCACCTCCTGTTGCTTCTAAACACCCCCCCCCACCTCCACCCTCCGATTTTTAGGAGTCGAACAAAAGGCTGCGAAGTCCGACCAGAAAGCCAAAATGTATGATACATCGCAGGACCAAGGCGAAAGTGGAAACTGGAAAGACAAACTTGGATAACGAATTGAGTCTGGGGAGCAGGAAGGGGGTATATTCCCGGCTGTGTGGGGGGGGGGGGGGAGAAGTGAAGGGGGTGAGGCTGGGAGGGATCGATCGATGGACCAGCCAATTTACGGAGGTGAAATGAACAGGAGAAGAAAAAGACGGAGGGAACCATGGAAGGAAAGCCAACGAAACGGAGAAAAAGAAGAAGAAGAAGAGGGGACGGGAGGGAAAGGAAGACAGAAAGAAGTTTTGGAGAAGAACCTGTAGCAAAAGTGTATGGAAAGCGACTTACCCGATAGACATTTTCGGTCAGCCGGTTCACCTCCTCCGAGCGGGACATGATGCCTGGACGGTCAGAGAGAGCCTGGACAGGGGCCTGGGCAGGCGGGCTAAAAAGTGGGTGGGCGGGAGGAGAGCAAGGGGAGGGTCTTAAAGTGGGGGGCGTAAAGGAAGGGAAGAAGCAGCCTGATCCTACAAAAAGTCAAAAGCGGCGCCGTGCTCAATTTATTTATTTTATTTATTTATTTATTTGATTTGCCAATTGTTTACAAGATAATAAGTATAAGTGTATACATAGTTGTGAATACATGAAATGGGTACATATAAGAAAAATAAAAGAATAAGAGAAACAATAGGACAGGGACGGTAGGCACGTTGGTGCGCTTATGCACGCCCCCTACAGGCCTCTTAGGAAAGGGGTGAGGTCAATAGTAGACAGTCTAAGGTTAAAGTTTTTGGGGTTTGGGGAAGAGACTACAGAGTCGGGTAGAGTATTCCAGACATTGACCACTCTATTACTGAAGTCGTATTTCCTGCAATCAAGTTTGGTGCAGTTTACTTTGAGTTTGTATCTATTGTGTGCTCTTGTGTTGTTATGGTTGAAGAATTCATTGACAGGTAGGACATTGCAATGTATGATTTTATATACCATGTTTAAGTCAGACCGAAGACGGCGTAATTCAAGGTTTTCTAGTTCTAGAATTTCAAGTCTGGTGGCATAAGGTATTCTACAACGAGTAGAAGAGTGGAGAACTCTTCTTGTGAAATATTTCTGGACTTTCTCAATTGTGCTAATATCAGATACGTAATGAGGGTTCCAGACTGATGAACTGTATTCGAGTATTGGTCTAGCAAATGTTTTGTATGCTCTGGTTAGTAGTGTGATATTACCAGAGAAAAAGCTACGTAGGATTAGGTTAACAACTCTTAATGCCTTTTTGGCTATGTAGTTGCAGTGGGCTCTAGCACTTAGATCATTAGAGGTGAGTATTCCAAGGTCCTTTACAGAGCTTGGGTCATCAACAAGATCTTGACTATTCAGCTTGTATTTTATTTTCTGATTTTTTTTTTGCCAATATGTAAGACAGAGCATTTATTTGTTGAGATTTGAAGTTGCCATTTGTTTGACCATTCAGATACATAGTCAAGATCTTTTTGTAGGGTAGCAGTATTGTCTGTGGTATTGAACAGCTTTACATCATCAGCGAAGAGAACGCAATTGCTCTTAATATGATCACAGAGGTCGTTTATATAGAGTATGAAGAGAGTTGGTCCTAGAACACTGCCCTGGGGGACACCACTATTGACAGGTACTGGATTTGATAGGACGCTCCCGATTTTGACCATTTGTTGTCTGTTTGACAGGAATGCTTCTATCCAGTTATTCAGTTGTCCAGAGATACCATAGGATTTTATTTTTAGGAGTAGTTTGTCGTGTACCACTGAATCAAAGGCTTTACAGAAGTCTATGTAGATTGCGTCTATTGCTTTGCCCTGGTCGAGTTGTGTCGTCCATATGTTTTTGCAGTGTAAGAGTTGCAGATTACAGGATAGTTTTTTTCTGAAACCAAATTGTTTATTGGAGAGTAGATTGTTTGTCTCTAAGTGGAGGATGATGGATTGGTTAATAATTGATTCCATGACTTTACAGGTGACGCAGCATAAGGAGATTGGCCTGTAATTTTCAACTAGGCTTGGGTCTCCCTTTTTGAAGATGGGGATGACTGTGGCTTGTGACCATAGGTTAGGCAAGGAGCTGGTCCTGGAAGATTTTTCAAAGATTATGCTTAGAGGTTTGGCTATGGCAGTGGATAGCTTTCTTAAGAAGTAGGCACATATTCCATCCGGTCCAATAGATAGAGATGGTTTTAGATTGCGTAGTGATTTTTCAACATTGTCTTCTGTGAAATCGATATGTATTAGATTATTGTTGTTATCTGTGGTATGGCTAGGAAATACTGGGCATGATCCATTGCTGTTTACAAATACTGAGCCGAAGAATGTGTTAAAGATGTTGGCTTTAATGGTGTCGTCGTTGCAGTCTTTACCATCAGGTCCTATCAAGGGAGGGATGGACCTTGAGTCTTTTAGTTTGTTGTTTACAAAATTGTAAAAAGCACGGGTGGAATTGGTGCTTAGAAGGTTTTCCTCTTGTTTAATGTGATAATTGGTGCATTCGGTCTTTATCTGGTGGCATAAATTTTTGTATCGGTTTTTGAAATTGGCAACGTGACCAGATTTGTTTTTCCGCCAGAGTGATCTCTTTTTGGATTGAAGTTTCCTTATTGATATGGGTAATCTGCTTTTTTGTTTTGTTTTGGGAGTTGTTGTTGGAACATATAGTTTGATGACTCTTTTGACTTCAAGTAAAAATATGTTGTAATGGTCTTCAACGGTATTGCATCCAGTGAATAGAGATTGCCAATCAAGGGATGAGAGATCGTTTTCTATAAGATCATAGTTGCCTTTTTTGAAGTTACAATAGGGGATTACATCATTGTGGTGATTTTTGTGTGGACGTATGTTGAGACAAAAGTCAATCATATTGTGGTCACTACTGGAAAAGGGTTCTTTAGTTTGTATTCCGTAAATTAAATTCAAACTGTTGCAGAAGATGAGATCGAGGCAGTTGTTTAGTCTAGTGTTGTTGATTACTAGTTGTTCCAGTCCCAGATTTGTAATAGCATTGTAGAAGGTTGTGTGTATGATTTCAGTTGTACAATCATTTAGGGTCCAGTCAATATGAGGTAGATTGAAATCACCAAGAAGGATAAAAGGGTATGGGCAGGATGCAGCCCATGTTAGTAATGTATTTAGCTTGTTTACATGTTCGATGTCATAATCAGGTGCTCTGTAACATAGTAAGAATCGAATTGTGATATTTAAGGATAGTTCACAGATGATGGTTTCAGGAAGGGCAAGCTCCTGGGTAACTTGGATATTTTTTAGATGTAAGGATTTTTTATAGAATATAGCAACACCACCTCTTCGACGATTTTCACGATCTGATCGGTAAACATGATAGTCTCTTACTGTGGTAATGGAGTCGGGGAGAGATGCATTGAGCCATGTTTCACAGACAAATATAATGTCGAAGTTAGCCATATTTAGGAGGAAGAGAAATTCAGGTATTTTATTCACGAGGCTTCTTGCATTGAGTAGTTTGCATTTAAGGCCGGCAGTAGTTGGAATTGAGGTAGTTGGGGGCGTGCGTGCCTAGTCTTGGGTGAATGCTAGACACGCTGACCAGGGGTTTAGGACTGCAGACTTGGCCTGCAAACATACGGATGACCACTCGCGGCGCTCCAGATGTTTGCAGCGCGGATCTGAGAACCTTAACACAGACATCCTACAGACAACAATACATATTATACATATCTGATAAAAAGTTTCCTGGCTATGCTGGAAGTCTGTAGTACAGCAGTTCTCAACCTTAGCAAACTTGGAGTATATGGCTGGCTGGGGAATTCTGGGAGTTGAAGTCCAGACGCCTCCAAACTAACAAGGTTGAGCAATGCTGCTGTAGATCAAAATTCACTTTCTCTGAGGGAACTTCCATGCTTACAAAAAGTTGCTAATGTGGTTCATCAACACCATCATTCAAACCATTGTCTATCCACTGCAGAACCAGCCATTGTCCATTCACTGTAGAATCAATGGCTCTTCTCAGTGGTGGGATTCATTTTTTTTTTTTTTACTACCGGTTCTATGGGTGTGGCTTGTGGCAGGGGAAGGATACTGTAAAATCTCCAGTCAGGGGTGGTGTTTGCTGGCTCTATGAACTACTCAAAATTTCCACTACCGATTCTCCAGAACTGGTCCGAACCTGATGAATTCCACCTCTGGCTCTTCTGCATGTTTTGAAGCAATATGGTCTTGAGTTTTCCTTTGCCAGTTGAGCCCCTAATATTTGCTGATGTCATTGATCCATCTTGTTTTAGGTCTCTTTTGTGGTTGCATTTTATCAAGTGGAATCTATTCTACGACTGCCTTAGTCCACCAGTCATCCATTCTTGCTATATGATCAGCCCATTTCCATTTCAATTATTTTACTCTTTTGATGGCATCTTATATTTTAGCTACATGGTAACAAAAAGATAATGGTTATACAGACGAATTTTCACAGATACAGACTATTTTTTAAAAAAGAGGAGTGTGTAAATCACTCCAGCATCCTCAGGAACAAGAAGTCATCTTAGTATGACTGGGTCCTGCCTGGGCTAGACCAGTGATCACCAACTGGAGGTCCGTGGACCACTGATGATCCATGAGAAAAGTTTGGTGGTCTGCAGAAAATTTATTTGCATTTTTTATATTGCACTAAATCAAGGGCTCTCAAACTATGACCCATAGGCTGGATATGTGCAATGAATGCTTGTGTTTCCGCAGAGAGTCTCCCCCTTCGGGGTCTTTTTGTGCAGGGCAGAGGGGAGCAGAAATTCCAACTTGGGGTCTACTTCAGCCTCCTGTGGTGGGGCTTTGGGCAAAGGCTAGACCAAAGTGCCACTGGTGGTGAAGAGCCGGAGGGCCTTGTTCCAGTGGGACTGCATCATGGCCTGGAACTGACTGACCATCTCAGCCGCTGAGCCTCCAGGTGCCAGTACCTGGCCTTGCACTTCCACAGGTTTTCCCTCTGCTTGGAAAGCCTATGCTCGTAGTCCTCAGTGAAATGCTCCCGCTGAACCTCCTTCTCGGTCAGATCCAATTTGAACTGAGCCAGCTGTTTTGCCAACTCTTTCTCATGGTAGCTGCTTCGCTCCAACAACTGCTTCCTGTTGGGGCCCTAAGGAGCCCAGGCAGGCAGGCAAGGAGTGGTTGGGAGGGGAGGGGTGAGTAGAGGCTGGCAAGGCACCCCTCAACATGAGTGACAGAGTTGGCCATGCCCACCCAGTCACATAACCACCTAGCCACCCATCCAGTCATTAGGCAGATCATATTAGTGGTCAGATTTAGGATTAGGCAGATTTAAATTATTGGATTTAAAATTATGAATTTAGAGATTCCTGAGATCCGAAAGGTTGATGACCCCTGGGCTACACTACATAGGAGTTGACTTGCAGTTCT